TTTCCCTGGGACCTATTCCAGAACAGGAGGTGTCAGAACTTCTCCTTTCAAATGAAAAGCAGTAATGTGAATTTATACATTCTTTTACAACTACATTAGGAAACTTTAGAAATATTTGTGGATTTAGAGAGGGAACATGGAGAAAAGTGGGAAGGGAAGGACAATGCTTATATTATCTGGGTTCACAATGGATCAGCCCCCTGCTAGCATCCTTACTCACATTATTTTCCTCAATATTAATAGAAAATTAGGTTCAAATGAAAGAAAAGAGACTCAGAATCCTTACTTATTTTGTCCCAAGTCATGCTGTTAGTAAAACTGGTATGAGGATGCCTACTGGAATTAAATATAAATAATTAAGTTCCCAGTACCATGATAAAATGCATAATATTGGTTAAAATATTATTTCACTTCTTTGGGCCTTATTTTTCTCAGCTACAAAATCAGGAGGGAATATGACTTTATTTCTTTCTCAGCAATGCTTTAAGTATGAGATATTATACTTTATCTCAGTTCTGGCCAGTTGCCCGAAAGAATGAGCATAAGCTAATGTGGCAAATAGTCTCATATCCAGGAAGTATGGCCCTGACATACTATGCAGCAAACAAAACCAAAAACTGTTTTTTTAATAACCATTTAGATCCTTATTCATCTCATGCTTATAGAATTGTTGAACCTGAAGGTGCTTAGAGCAAGAATTTGTTTGGAAATGTTTACAGCACTGTGGTATAATGGCCCCTCCTGTGGGGTTTCACCTCCAGCAGAGTGAAAGGCTTCCGCGGGGCCACCTAGACCTTGAGCTGTGAACCCTAGAGACCCCATGACTGAAGGAGACTAAATATGAAGGACTTGCTAGTTACCTGCTCTGGTGGCAGCATAAGAAGAGAAGGCTACCTTGGGAACTGATCGCATTCCCAGAATTTGCAGGAGATAAGATAGAAAACATATGAGCGAAACACTCCTTAAGTTCTCCTGAGGCCAGTCTAAGTATGTTGTCCAAAAGGAGTTACTGGAATGAACCCAGTAGAAATTTGAGGAGTAAAACTCCTGTTTAAAAAACTGCGCATGATTTTTTAGGTCCAACCCTAGGTCATTACACAGGCTTTGCCTGGCCGGACTCACAGAGGAAAGCTGGAACTCCCCATACCAGATTCAGTGTACAGCTGGTATATTAGTCATAGGACTAGGGTTCCCTGGCCAACCAGGCTTATGCATGTTTGCATTCCAAGCCCAGGTACCTAGGTTCACAGGTCCCTTTATCTGGGATCTTCCCACTGCTGACACCTACGTCAGATGCTTCTGCTGAGGTCTTGCAGCAAGTGGAGAAGATGGTGGTAGAGGAAACTTGAAGATTCCTTTCCCCATTCTTCCCCTCTAGTCAGTGGAGTTCTAGTCCTAGCTCTCCCTGTCTCCTTCCCCCTAGCCGCAGAGGGTAAGGTCTTAAATGAAACAGCATACCCTAGCCAATTAAAGAGAGTGATTGAAATAGAGTAAATCAAACCAAAAAATGTACCTTGATAAAGGTTCTTCATAATCCAATTGTGAAATTCTCAGCCCTTATAATTATATGCTATAGTGAAGAATGCTGTACTTTCCCCTTCATTCAAAGAAGGAGCTCAGTTCATGGTGACTATTCTTTAAAAATAAAGTAATAATAATGTGAAGAATAGTATTACAGTGGGCCCTGGAACAATGACAACCCCACCTCCACCCCCATGTAGTCACAAAATCCATGTATAACTTTTAACTCCCCCAAAACTTAACAACTAATAGTCTACTGTTGACCAGAAGCCTTACCAATAACATAAACAGTCAGTTAACACATTTTGTATATGTTACATGTATTATGTACTGTGTTCTTATAACAAATTGAGCTAGAGAACTGAAACATTTTTTTCAAATTGTTGCATACCTCCAAAAGATTTCCAATATATTTATTCAAAAAAGTTACATATAAGTGGATCCACTCAGTTCAAACCTGTGTTGTTCCAGGGTCAACTGTACTTAGTTTAAAAATATGAAATAATAATCATTTTATATCCCTAAGTCCTTGGTAATCACTGAGAAGATAAACCTGTTATGCCACAGGATACAGAAAAGGAAGAGAGCTAACCAATCTTTTAAGTGGAGGAGAAAATGCAGTGTATTATTAGTCTTAAAAGATATTTTTAAAATTAGTAGAAGTTAAATAGGGATGAAAAAAAAAAGAGGGCATTCCAGGCAGGGCAACAACATTGGTAAATGCTAAGCTATGAAGGCACTAAGTGGGAGTTAGGGATCATAAGTGAATGGCTACAGCAATTCAATTGAGAGTGGAGACAGGATTATTTTGAGTTTAAGAACTTCATCCAGATACTCACTGATCAAAGAAGAGACCGAGTGAGAAAGGCATTTGAGGAATAATGTTCTGAAAACAGAGAAAAGAGCCTAGACAGGGGGTGTCTAGGAGACAGGGTGGCCCACGAGGAACTCATTACAGTAATCTAAATTTTCTAAACCTACTTTCTCATTCTATATGGAAACTGAGGCAAAAGCTTCTTGTATTTCTATATTCCAGTTACATAATTCTCCAACCAAAAGTTCTTGCCTCCTGGGCTCTACAATTATCTTTCTATATTCCATGGGTTCCTTTCCTTCCCCATGCCCCACCCCAGAGCAGCACGCACACGCACACACACACACACATGCGTGCATGAATTCATTTATTATAAGCTATTTAATGTTAAGGGATCACCTGTTTCTCAGCCATTTCTTCATTTAAAAAAATCTAATATCGGGCTTTGCACATACCATATGTCTCACAGTTGTAGACTGTCTTGTGAGGGTGAACGAGAAAGCTGAAAGTGAAAAAGTCAAGAAAGAACAAAAACCAATGGAAGTCAATGAAAATAATTGAAACGAATCTTTTGTTTTACTTAGTTGAGTCTAAAGGTCAGTTTCAGCTATACTTACGTTCCGGGTCCCTCCATGAGATGAGTGAGGCTGAGGTCCATGACCCACAGTCCCTGCTGTCATCTTAAAGTTATAATGCCTGGAAGTCTACAGTTAGCTTTCTTCATAATTCCTACCTAGAAACCCATGGAGATGTGTGCTAGTACCAAGACAGGCTTTGAGTTTGCAGTGCTTCACTTCGTGAGCCCTCCTCTACCTCTAGGCAGCTAAATATCACAATAGGATATGGGTTTCCAAGCCAAACCTAGAATAACATTTTTAACAGAGCATATGAGACAGTATCCCCTGGGCAGATTTCCAATTATTATGGCCTATTTCCCCACTTTATTCAGCATCCAGTAAAGAACGCTTCAAGAACATGGCCTATTCTGAGGAAGACACTCCTCACACACACACCACACTTGATTTGCCATTCTATCGAGTTCCAGACCCCAGGGGCACAGGAATAAGAGGAAATTTTAAGTCTCAAGAAGATTGGACTTTCGTGAGGGAAGCAGACATATAAACCAATAATGTGTCACTGAGCTCCTTCCAAATGAAGACCTAGGTGTGTCTGGAAAACTATAGGGACAGAGCTCTGGTGTGCCAACTGTTCTGAGAAAAACTCTTGCTAAAAGTTTGAAATAAAAACATGAATCAAACTCTGAAGAGAAGGACAACTTGAAATACAGAGTTGTGTGTCAGAATATAACCAATCCCACAGACACACAGGAGAAATATTTGGCAAGATGAATTAATTCATAGAATGAAAAATGTATACTGATGATTTACCATGGGCCAGGCACTCTGCTAGGACCTGGAGACACTGAGGAGAAACACTGACAAGGGTTCTTCCCAGCAATTCTGATTCTATGAGCAACAGGAAATCTTTGGCAAGTTTCAGAGATCCTAAGAAATGAGTAACTTAAAGAAGTGTTTTCTAATATATTATTTAAAAGCCTGAAATCATAAAATTTTAATTGCAGTTCTGATGACAACAGTAACCATCATGATAATAGTATGGCCTTAGCACTGAGGCCTTCATGACCTGAGCACGGTCACCATGTTAACACGACCCATAGTGTCCTCCATATTGGCCAATAGGCATTTTTGTGGAGAGTGTCCTTCACCCTTATTATTATGATCTTCAGGATGAAAGAGAAAACTCAGCAGCAGAGGTGAGAGTGGTACATCTGAGCAGGGGCACAGGGTAATTTTAGTGGCATCCAGTATAGAGCATCCATTTTTTAATGATACAGTTATAAGAAATCTCCTCACAAGGTGGCAAAGAGAAAGCAGCAGTTTCTCCTGGATTAAGTAAGAAGACTGATTCTCAGTGTGCATGGAAGTCATCCCCTGTAATGTCCCAGCATTGGGCATCCTCCTGGGAGAAACTTGAGGTCATCTGATTCTGGCAGAGTGGATAGAGCACATGGGTATGCCCAGAGAATTACCACTTCCTCTGTAGCCAAGAAAGCAGAAATTCATACTATTGTTTATAGGTTGGCTTTTTTTTTTCTTTTTTTTTTTTTTTGGTCAAGTTTTTCTTTGTGGTTCCAGATTGGCTTTCACCATGTTGGAGAGAAAGGAGAGAGTTGAAGCTAGTCCATTTCCAAGATAGGAAATGGTGCCAGCATCTGGGAGAGAATTTCTGAAGTCTCTTGATGTTTTAGAAGGGATGGAATTAGGACACTTCAGGAAGCGTGCAGGTTCAGTACTCCCAGCCTTCCCTTTGGCAAACACCAGCTCCTGAGACATGGTATAGCCAGATGTTGTAAGACCACAATAACATCTTGAGTGGACAGGTGGGATGCACTTCCCTACACACCTACACTCACACACCGACACACACCGTAAGAGCAATATTTCACAAGTTAGTCTGTAGGCAGGACAGTAGCTAAGACTCCCAGAGCTGGAACAGGATATGATTAAAAGGAAGTTCTGTCTCCGGCATCCTGGGGGACAGCAGTAGCATTAAATGGAATGGTATTGCAATGAGTTCACAACATCAATCAGCAAAGGCTTTTTTCCCAAAGAGAGAGAGGAAGCAATATGAGTATCAAACTTACCAGATAATTCTCAAAAACAAGCTGTAGTACATGACGAAAACAAGCCTCAACTCGAGAATTAGAGGTCCAAAGCTCAAAGTCTGGCTTGTTCCAGTTGCTGCAGTAGATTTTCAGTGACTTCCCACAGGTACCAGGAGATGCCTGGGGACATTGTCCTCTTCTGCGTTCAGGGAGAATTTGCTTCCTTGGCCTCAGAGCAGCCAGCCACTTGTTATTATGTAAATGCAATCCCAAGCGGCAATTTGTGAACCAAACCTATAATTCTGTGTGATTCCGATGCGATGGCTCAATCCATCCCTAGCTTTCAATCTGTATGTTTTATTCACAAGAAAGCAGCATGATTGGATCTTCAATTCTATACTGCTCTGGGGTTTTCTATTAGCAAGGCAAATTTATTTCCTGCCATTGCCCTCAGTGACTTCCCGCTAAAATACAGACCACAAATATTTCAATCAAGTTGCCATTAATAGATCACTTTCTGGCCTTTTCCTTAAAACTGAGACTAGTATAGGATTTTTCATAACATTATTAAAATACAGTACAACAGTTTGAAAATTGCTCAATGAAAGAAGGGTGATAGATTGAATACTCTTGCAGAGTGTCTTCCCCAAATCGCTGTGTGACCTTGGTTGAAAGAAATCAGTCCAATATTTTGACAGTGGCCTGCATCCAAAATGACGAAAATAATAAAAAAGTATTTAATAAATTACTTTATACATTTCAATTACAAAATCAGCTTAGTCTGTAGCTGTCATAAATTTTCTGGCTTCCAAAAAACACCTGTAAACTGGAGACAATGAGGCACCGACCTGGTAGACAAGGGATCATGGTTCAAATCCTGGTTCTGCCCTTTATCAGCTGGGAAACCTTTGGTACATTGTTCAGTCCCTCTGGGTTTCTCCTACAAAATAGAATTGAATTAGATAGAATTCCTTCAGAGGGAGCAACCACTGTTTGATTCTACCAATCAGTAGAATCAGTGAATACTGAGAAGCTGAAGGATCTATAATGTTCTTCCCATTCTGATATTTTATGAGGATTTACATCTGTCATCCTAGTCAAATCAACCTGGGTTTTTGCAGTTTAGGATGAAGTTGTTTAAATTATAAAGGCATCCCTATTAATTATACCTAACAGCTATTCTGTTTTATTTAGGGAAAACTACTTGATAGATCTCTGCCGTGTAAGTCACCATTATTAGGACTAATACTAATGTACACTATGGAGCACAGTGATTACCTCTGAGATGGGCTGAAATGGCCAGAGTGCTCTCAGAGACAGACAAATCCAATGGAAGACATTCTCTGTGTATAGCTAAGTCCGAGGGATCTAAAACTATGCACACTCCTCTTGGAAGATGCCTCCCACAGTAACATTCTTCATATACTTGAGGTGGCAAACTTGGAGGCCTGATGAGAAGATGGGTCTTTTCTCAGCCCCCAACCCACATCTCTCTGGAACTCAGCAAGCCTTAAACTGGTCTCCTTTTAAAAGCCTACAAATGAGCAGTTCTTAGATTCTTGATAGGTGTGAATGTGTCAGTATGAAAAACATCAGTGTGATTATGAGATTAAATAAGATGAGGAAGCGGAATATCTTTGAAGAAGAAATAGTAATACCATGAGATGATGACAGTGCAAAGAACTGTAGACCTCCTCGCCTCCTGACATTTATCCTCACGGAGGAATGATTGCCCTTTAACTGAGGTGGGGTAACACACAAACTAATGTATTATTGGGTGTAAATAAAAAAATACAATAAAAAGTTTGCAACCAACTTAAATGCCATCACTTGGGGAATAGTTAAAAAAAAAACAGTTCAGCCATTCAATGAAGTATTATGTTGACATAAAGAATGAATTAGATCAATATAAAAAATTAAATTTTAATAAAGTATGTATAAGAATAACCGATGTATTAGGTATGCCTGTGCTGATAAAGAAACATGATCAAAATTTATTGTTAAATATAAAGAGAAAAGTGGTTGTAGAGGAGTATATATGAAATAATCCAATTTGTCAACTAGACTATTTCTAGAAAAAAAAATACAAGGCATTTTAAGAAGGTATGTTGACCACACAGAGTTATGATAAACAGTATTAGTATTTTTCACCTAATGTACTTCTGAGCAGTGGATGCTTTACCATAAGCACAAGTTACTTTTCTAATTAAAATAAAGTTATTTAAAACTCAACATGGATCATTTGTTGTGGCCAGGAAATGCTTAACTGATTTAATGATCTCAGTAGCAGTTTTATTGGGAATGTATTTCAGGTATGTTGAAACTTAAACAGAACAGTTCTAGAAACATGTGTAATCATCTAGCTTTAAGAAATCTGATATTTTTCTTCATCCAGAAGGCTCAATACTAATACAGGTGCACTTCTGAGTACCCCTCCCTTATCCCATTACCACAGCCTTCCAATGTAACTGATTTAAATTTAATGTTCAAAATATACTAGTAATGCATGTGCCTAAAATGACATATTGTTTTACTACCTAAATATGTTTTAGTATTGCTTTACTTTTTCTAACACTATATAAAAGGTTTGATATAGTTCCTATTATTCTTCAACTCACATTGCTCATGTAGTGAAGCTGTAATGCTCCACACTGCCAACTTCCCCATCAGGACTGAAGGGCTCTGAGCCTAGCTGCTGGGAATGTGGGATCTGATAACCCTTGACTGTCTTACTCTCTGGAAATTACCCTCTTCTAGTAAGAGCTGCCTTCCCCAAGGTCCCGCACTGTCCCATGGCACCCTGTTCAGTAGGGTCTATAAAGACCCACTTCTTTCAACCCAACTCAAATTTTGAAAGGCCATCCCAGCTCCAGATCTCCTTGGGGAGGGTTAGATGAAGTCTGGAAAACAATGTGTAATCTGTAAGGAAATATCAGACTTTCCCAAGCTGATGAACAATCTACAAGATAACTGGCCTATATTCTTCAGAAATATTGATATCATAAAATTTATCTATAACCATAAAGATATATATATAATGAATAATGCCTTATTCATTATGTTTTTTAGGTCTTCTGTAACCTTATAGTCTCTTGTCCACATGATCTGTGTTGTACTAAAGACAGTAGATTAGTTTCTCTTAAATAATGTGTTTTGATCCACATCTTTTCACATGGCTTATAATTTTTGCTTTATAACGGGGTCACTATATGATTCGGTGCATATATCTATAATGTTGCAAATTGTGGCTTTTAACACTGAAATGTGTCTTGTGTATGAACAGCTTCCTTTACCTAAGTCTGTCTCTGGACCCAGAGCCCACAGGCCTAGTTTCTGTTCTCCATACTGCCAACCAATTCACATTTCCTTTAGATTTCTGGTACAGAAAAATATGCATTTTAATGTTAAGCTACTTATGTTTTACTAAATTTATATTATAGTATATATATTATAGTGTTCCTTGGTATATATCTAGACAAAATAGAGATATATTCAAAGTATGATATTCCATAGCTATTTTTATAGGAATTTATCATTTAATCAACTCCTTTATCTTTCATTTTGGACTCAATACACATGTAAAATCTCTGGGTCATAGACCATATACTATAATTCTACTTCATTTTCAACTCATCAACAAAAGTTTTTTCCAACGACTCTACCTACCCTTTCAACATTTTTAACTCTTTCTTTTACTCTTACAACTTCTGTAGTATGTAGCATTATATGTTCCATTATTGATGTGATGTTGTTTTATGCCATTGGTATAATATTTCATGTAAATTAATCTTATCTCCCCAAGGGGTACCTGAGCTTTTCAACAACAGAGTCTTCTTGGAGGCACCTTTCCTAGTAAGCAAACGTACAGAGTCTCCTAAGCGTAACAACTGAGTTGAATGCGTACTACATACAGGAATGAAAACAATGTGGATGCACAGTGGGGAGAATGAACGGGGAAAAGTTACAGATGATTTTAGAGCTGTGCCTTGAATTTGCAAGAATTTATTCATTCATTAGGCAGATAAGTAGGCAAAGACATTTCAATGAATAAAAAGCTTGTTCAAATGTACAAAGATATGGGAATATATGCTTATTCAGAAATTGGTGATTAAGTTCAGTATAACCGGAGCACAGTGTGTCAGAAGATACATTTCAGCAGTAGAGTAGTGCTTTGTATGCCCTGGTAAGGGTTTGGAGTGGTGTGCTACCAGTGCTAGGGATAATCATTAGGGGTATTTAAAAGGGAACGTGATATGACCATAGCTGGCTTGGGAAAAATACCCACATCAACAGTTAAGGAAGTATATTTCAGGACATCTCTCAAAGGAAAGGTCATTGTTATGAAAGCTACCCAGTGTGGCTAAGGAACACATGCTGAGCAATGAACTAAAAAGCTGTGATGGTAGAAAGGGGTAAGAGGTCAGATTTCATAGCTGTTTTACAGGTAGAATCTAATCTAACCTTGATATCTAATTAGCTGCCACAGACAATGCAGAGACAGAGGATGATGTCAATATTTCCAGCCATAAAGACTTTCTAAGTGGCCTAATTGCACAGGAGGCAGATAAGGTTTAAGGGACATGGAGCAGATTTAAGATTTACATTTGTGGTGACGTGAGGAAAAAGAAATTCTCTCTCTCCCCCTCTTTTGGGCTACTCCTTCCTTGTCTTTGCTTCAGTCTTGATGTGAAGGAATGTTGTGAAGGAAAACAGTTAAAGGAAGGCCAGTGCATCATCAGCTATGGTTTATAGGTTTATTCCATCTGGGATAAATGGAGTTTGGATAAACACAGTTGCCTTAAGGTTGAACAGAGGCAGATTAAAATTCAAAAAGAGTCTTCTCTTTCACCATCACTGTCATGGTTTTTCCACAAAGGCAGTTAATACTCGAAGCTATAGAGTCTAAGTAAATGAAATAACTCAGTAATACCAGAGTCCCAGAGGGATAGTGCTAGGGGACAAAACTAGGTAATTAAGAGTACAGGAAAGTAAATGGTCAGTACCCAGAAGCAGGTTTCATGCAGAGCTATATCCCAGTTTGAAGATTCTGGAAGGAAATATGGTTAAGATACTCGTAAGCCATTAAATTACATTGTCATTGGAAGCCTGGTGCCCCGGGTACTCCCAGAACATATGGCAGAAAAATGTCTTGTCAAGAATTTCATTGCCAACATCAATCCGCAGCTTTGAGAGTCACAGCTGCCGTGCTGGATGGGAGCCGAGGATCTCTCAAGGCTGCCTGTTCTTGTACGAGATTGATGGGAAGGTTGGGGGTTGGTCCCATTATTTATTTTCATCTTGCTGTCTAAGAGCCTGGGTCACAAGCCACAGCCTAGTGCCATTTCCCCAGATCTTCTGCTCCATCTTCCTAGTAGAAATGACAGAAAGACACTGAATCCTAGTGTCAGGCATCCATAAGTGGTATGAGGAATGTGGCTTATCCAGGGAAGACAAGTTTCCTGGCTCAGGTCTCATTTATAATGACACAGTTACAAAGAATCCAGGTAATGAATGTGTTGAGTGTGGGGGTTTTGATTTGTTTCAGAAACAGTATGTTGAATATGATAACCCTTTTCTAGAAAGTTCCTGAGAGACTAGAAGCCAAGTGAAACTTTTAAGGGACCTCAGCAAAAGGTCCAATAAACAGTGACCAAAAAACAAAACATGCCTAACACCAAAAGACACTCCTTCTTATAAATTTTCTACATTTGACCACCAGGGTTGCCTAAAATTCCAGCTACCATACTCACGCTGGTTTGAAATTAAGAAATTGCCTTAGCAGTTTCTGAAGATGAAAAGTGTTATCCTTTTCAAGGGTGTTGTCTTATGCCTAGTTCTTTGTTTTTTGTTTTGTTTTGTTTTGCTCTGTGTATATTCTCATAAGGAAAGGTTTTATTGACCTTGCCCACATTTTGACTATAAATTCCTAAGCACTGACCA